CCTTGTTGATCTTCTTTTGGGATCTATCCTATATGGGATTCGTTGAGCTTCTTGGATGGTTAGCATTTCATCTTTCATGATATTAGGGAACTTTCCTGTCGGCAATTTTTCAATGATCCTCTCTGTGTTTTCCGTTTTCTCCTCCTGTTCTGGAACTCTGATCACTCACAAATTTTTGCTTTTGATTGTATCCCATGTCATTCCCAGGGTTTCTTCATTTTTCTTCGTTCTTTTCTGTGATTTTTCCTCAAAGTGATATCCAAGGATTTGTCTTCAATTTTGCTGATCCTGTCTTTCATTGTTTCAAACCTGCTCCTCAAACCTATGACATTGTCCATTTCTGAAATCTTGTTGTTTATCTTTTGGATTTCTAATTGTTGTTTTTGTATGATTTCTAGTTGTGAATTTATTTTGACATTTTGTTCTTGTATTATTTTCCTGAATTCTTCCTCTTTTTTTTTGTCTCTCTTTTCCATGATTTTGTCTATTTTTCCCTTATTTTTGTCTGCTTTTTCCTTCAACTCTTGGATATCTCTGAATATTAGAGGTTTGAATTCCCTATCAGGTAGCTCCAGTGTCTTAACTTCTACTGGAAGGTCATCTGGTGTTTTATTTTGGGTGCCTACTGGAACAATCCTGTCGTTTTTTTTTTCGATATGTTTTGATATTGTCTGCTCTCTTTGGGACATTCAGGAATCATTTTCTTCATTTATTGATTGTAGATTTGTTTGTTTTGTCCTGCTTTTTTGTTTTATTTGGTTATGTCTGAGCAGGTTGGCTGGGCATTCTTTGTTGTTTGCTCATCTGTGGGCACAATACTTCTCACCACCTTGTCCAATGGGCAGGGCCAGTCACTGAGCTATTGTGCAGCAGGGCAGGTCCAGCAGACAGAGAAGGGCTGGGATGGGTCATTTGTGGCACATACTGGGGCCAACAGGGCGGGGTCGGGGGGCAGTGTAGGGCAGGTTCTGGTAGACCATGCTTGTGCTGCTTGGGGGGTGTGATGCTCAGCACACAGTGCAGACAGGTAGGAGGGAGGGGGGAGGTTTTTATGTGTGGAGCTAAGTGTGTGTGGGAAGGAAGAGAAAGAGGAGAGAGAAACAGGAGCTAAAAAAAATACTGAGGGAGCCTGCCATTGGAGCGGTGCAGACCCCAGGAAGCCATGTGCCAGTGGCTTTCTAGCTGGACAGTGAGGCACAGCCCATCAAGAAGGGACAGATACAGCATACACAGCTAGGTGAGCAGGAGAAAGGAAAGGAATGAAGGGAGAGAGATATAAGAAACTAGATTAAAAATAAAGAGAGAGAGAGAAAGGCACACACACCAGGTGGCCGGGAGAAAGGAATTGAAAGAATGTAGAGAGAGACAATAAACCTAGAGAGAAAAAAAAAAGATGCCAGATGGTTGGGAGGAAGGAAGGTAGAGAGAGAAAAGAAACCAAAAAAAAAAGAAAAAAAAATGCCTCAAGGGAGCCCACCAGAAGCAGGTCCCCAGCCGAGAAGCACTGCACAGCCTGTCAGGAAGGAGCAGATGGCACATGGCACCAGGTGTTCATGAGAAGGATAAGGAAGGAAGGTAGAGAGAGATAAGAGACCAAGAAAAGAAAAGAAAAATGCTCTAAGGGAGCTCACTGGTGTGGTGGCAGGGACCAGGAAAGTGGCTCCCCAGTCAAGCAGCACTTCACAGCCTGTCAAGAAGGAGCAGATATGGCACATAGAGCCAGATGTTCAAGAGAAAGGAAAAGAAGGAGGTGAGAGAGAGAAGAAATCAAAAGAAGCTGAAAAAAACAACAATGGCAACCAAAAAAAAAGTCACTGAAGGAGCTGGCTGGTGTAGGCGGGGTGAATCCAAGTGACAAGGAGCTGGCACCTCCCCAGCCAAGTGACCGTGGCCTGCCAGAAAGCAGTGGAGGCCGAGCAGGGGGAAGAAGGATGGGGAGTGGGAAAACGTGTATCACTGGTTACTGGGTGCTCTGTCTCCTGCTGGGAGCTCCGTGAAGCTGCCTTCCTGTGCTCCTCATTCACCGTTCTTGGTGGCTGAGGAGTCCAAAATGGGAATCTGTGCTGCATTAGCTGATAGGGGATCTCCACACCATATTTCTCCTTGCTCTCTGTTCTCTGTCAGTTTCTTATTCCATTTGGTGCTTGGCTGAGTTCTTTATCCTTTCATTTGACACTTAGAGTTCCAAGACTGACATTTGTCTCTGTTTTACTTAGTTTTTTGGGTCTTTGCTGTGGAGGGATGGTGTAGCGCTTCTGTCTATAGCATCATGTTGGCTCTGCCTGTCTTTCTTTTATTTTTAACAGTTTTTTTTTTTTTTTTTTTTTTAGCAGTTTCAGGAAAATTGTGCAGGAAACGAAATACAGAGAGTTCCCATTTACCACTTCCCCCATACACATTCTTTCTCCTATTAATATCTTGCATTCCTGTGGCACATTTGTTAAAATTGAGGAACCAATATTGATACATTATTATTAACTAAAGTCTATGGTTCACATTATGGTTCACTCTTAATATTGTACAGTCCTGTAGGTTTTGACAAGTGCTTAATGTCATGTGTTGTTTGGTTTCTTTTTAAAAATTTTATCTCTTTGCTGATATTCTTGTTTTGTTCCTGTATCATTTTCCTGATTTCCTTTAGTTCCTTGTCCAGTTTTCCTTTAGTTCTCTGAGCATAATTAAGTGTTGTTTTAAAGTCTGTCCAGTAAGTTTGATATGAGTATGGTAACTCTGGAAATCAGATACTTGCTTTCCCCATGTTTTGCTGAGGTTGTTTCGTTTATTTGCTTTTTTTTTTTTTTAAATTTTTGAAGACTGAAGCCATCCATTTGTTTAGTGATTTTTTTCCTAGCTATTGTTGCAAAGACTGCCTTCCTGGATATGTGTGCACGCTGAAGACCCTGTTTATTAACTTGTGTTCGCCTAGTGTTTTGACAGAGATTTCCTTGAATGCCAGGGGGAACAAAAAACAATAAAACAAAAACACCTCTCCTAGTGTTTGCAAATTGCCTCTGTGCTGGAGCCCTCCTTCAAAGGTCAGCCAGGCTTGCAGTGAGCCTAGGGATCAGCCTAACATGAAAGCATGAGTCTGCTCAGGTAATTTCTGAGCATGTGTGTTGCCATGGGAATGTGTGTGGCTTTCTCAATTCCCCTGTACACAGTGCTTTTGAAAACCTTGATTTCCAAAAGAAACTCTCTTCCCGATCTCTCCTTCCTCCCTTAGGAGCCTATCATATGCTTTAATGTCACCTTTTAGCCACAGGTGTCTACAGGTGGTGGCAGCCCTAGATTGCCTCCCACTGCCCCTCAGGCCTGTGCAAAGTCTGAGACAGGAAATATCGAGATGAGTAACTTGCTTCAGTCCTTCAGGTAGCCCCAGAGTAGAAACACACAGTGATTTGGGAATATAGTCTGCTGTGCTTCGTCTAGAACCAGAGACCAGGTTCTCTCTCTGGGAGTGCAGATACCACTGCTTTAATAAGGCCACACCAAGCCAGAGACAAGTTGGGGTGCAGGTGGGTAGAAAACCAAAGCTTTTCCACCATTTACATGTCACCTTTTCCTTAATTCATCATTAGCTTAGTTCATCATTTGTTTCTGAAAACTCTGGTGTCCAGAGTTCTGATACCATTGATTCTGCCAATTTCTGTTTGGGTTTTGTTATTGTTGTTGCTTTTGTGTGGGGCTGGGAGTGTGCAGCTGCATACGCTGCTGTCTTCCTCTCTAGTCAGCCCCTCATCTTTTGACTTTTCCAAGTGTAAATCAGATGTGAAGTCCTCGTGTTTCCCAAATTACAAGAAATGTGTCAAGCTCCCCCAGTGATTCTCTGAAGTACCCCCTCCTGTGGCTTCAGATGACTGAAGGCACCCTAGGTGTGGGAGGAGCCTTCAGCACTCTGGCAACTCTCTCTATATGACACTCACTCCTTACATCTCAACCTCTCTGGGATTTCTTGGACTTTGTCTGGAGAGTGGACTGCAAGCTCAGGGTCCTAATCTTTCAGAGTAGTCAGAAACATCAAATAAGGTTAATCTCTGCATTGGGAACTTCAGCTTCTGACACTGGGACGATATATCAGATAAGTTTCATTTCCAAATGTTATTTTATCATGGAGGTAGGAGGAGGAAACAGACTTTAACAGTGGAGGAAAAGCAAGAAAACAGACTATAACAGCTATTGAGGTATCTATTTTTCATGCCTCTCAAAGTACTTATCAGAGTAATTTTAGACTGGAGTGGATCCATTGACAATTTTGTCCTTCAGGAATTGAAGTGTCTCTGCTTCCATGGAATTGAAATCATCTTCTCAGTATAATAAGTGCAGAAAAAAAAAAAAACATGAAAAGCTAGAAAGCCTACACTCTGGCACCTGCCTTTATTCTTTGACCACTAGTATCCAAAGTATAAATGATCGCTTCTATTTTATTTTATGACTACGTAATGACCTGAAAGTTAATGCATTTTCTTATGGCATAATTAACAAAAATATTTAGTATTTAAATAGAAATTAGATTTCAAGAACATTTTAAATAATTATGTAGTAATTGGTATTTAATTTATAAATATTTTGATTCCTTTTGTAGCTATTAAACATTAAAATAGTTGTAGATATAATGATTTATTGTATACTTCACTCTATAAATAGTTAAAACTTAAAAATATATTGTTGTGAATAAGCTTTGGTAATTTAAAAATGAGAACTGTAACTACCCATCAAAATTTAAGTGAAAAATCTAGAAATTTTTTTCCCATTCCTGTGAACTAATTTGTTTTTTTTTCCCATCCCTGTGTACTTTTTAGAAAGATATAAAAGGTAAGAAAAAGGAAAAGGCTCTTTAACATCACATCTATTATTTAAAAGCAAGATTTTTTTGTATTACAAATTCACAGACATCACTGCTATGCATTCTTTATCTTTACTTATTGGATTAGATAGACTCTTTAATTGTGGACGTTTGACATAGATCTCAAGGTACTTTTTTTTTTCTTCTCTTTTTGCAGTTGGTTGGTTTTGTGTATGCCTGTTACGTGATCAGTATCTTCATGGAAGAAGAGGACACCTGTAAGTACCGTTATATCTACCTGTGGATTTATTTTGGATGAGACTTAGCTTCCAACACTAGTTATTGCAAGGATATGAAAGCTTTCATATTTGGGAATCAAAATGATGGAACTCAGTTTAGCAAAGTACCAATCAAAAGCTGACAAGAGGGCACTAAGTATTGGAACTTCAATCCAAAGTTGTGTGGGAGGATGCACCGAGGCTCAGGAGCCTCAGATTGGTATCATGTCCAGTTTTAGTAACTTGTCACCAGAGACCTGAACATTATACTGAGTAGAAAGTTGGGTTTGTATGTCTTTTTTTAAAATCCATCACCAGTTGTAAGTATGATGGCAGCAGAGTTTTGAAGTCTTAATAATGGCAATAATATTAATACAACAATACATTGCAGCAAGATCTTTGTGTGTATGGGCTATATAAAATGCAATGAGAAAACTAAGAATGACAACCCTCAAGGAGACAGGAGATGCTAGAAAGAGTTACTGGGATGCTAAGAAGCAAAACTGCATTTTATCAGAACAACAAAATAAAAGACATATATGACCTGAAGTTACGTGGATAATGATTTAGCAACATGGTTTAACAACTGCTATTTATTGAGCACCTGCTAATGTGTAAGAATTTGGCTTGAAATAACTCTGTTGTGAGTTCATAGAGCACCAAAGAAATTTTAATTTATTAATTTATTTTTTAGAAAAATAAATTAGTTTAAACAGACAAAACACACCCACACACCCAATTAAACTGGAAATTTAGTTCTATCATTGCAGTTACTGTCAGAGTTGTAAAATTGACTCTAACGAAGTGAGGAGAAGTGTCTAGCTAGCCATTATAATTGCTTTCTAGAGTATATCTCCAAAGTGGTCTGGTGAATGCTTCCCACCAGGTAGATGCAGTACACAACGTTTGAACTGGAATCCAGTTCACAATGGTATCTCATCTCGATTTATTTGACTAAATGGAAGAAATCTTAGACTCAAGAGATTAAAAATTCAAACATGCTGCATCATGTATTTTATGCTTATTCAAGGGTATTTTTTTAATGCTAGATGAGTCAGAAAGTTTCTAATATTTCAAAAGTAAAGTTATAATTACAACAACTTCTACTAGGAGGTTAACATGAAAACTGGTTTTTAGGAGTCCACTAGTAGTTCCACAATCTAACAAAGTCAATATACAAAAAGTCAGTAGCATGCTTTCTACTCACAGCTAAAACAGGCTGAATCACAAAACACAACTGGTTAAGCATCAACGATTTTACTTGGCATTGGGGCCTAATAGAAATTACTGGATCTTGGTCTAAATAAATACTTCAAAAAAATCGATACATTCATAAATCCCAGTTGAATCCCTTATAAAGTATGTTTGAAGGGTACCAAAAAAATCTCCTTTTGTCCTTTTCTTTCTTTTCCTCCTCATTTAACTAGCTGGAGGCTTTCAATAGATGCCAGTACCAAGGTAGATGCCTACCTTATTGTGTGAGAAAAGACTGATTCATCAATAATCTGTCTGTTATCTGATAGAATAAATAAAGGACTTTTTCTTGAGTTTATGATTTTAAACAAAACCGGTGAATACAAAATGACATGCAAAATAACAGGGTTCATCAAATTTAGGTAAGCATCTTTCGATCTTCCATCAGCATTCTTTTGGAGTAATACTGCCAGCATATGTGGATTTTATTGCTACTGGCAGATGCTGTAGTTCCATTGACTTTGGTGTCTTTAATTAACTTAAGTTTCTCTATAGAAATCTCTGAATCAGCTATTTTAATGGCTACCAAACTGGCACTGAAGCAGCTGCTAGCAACGTATTCTATATTGGTTTAATTCTAATGTTTGTGATTACAGAGAGACATCTGAATATAATAGTTGTGTAACCATCAATTCAAATAATATTTACAGTTGAGCAGAGCATTAGGTGCTCAAAATGAAATAAATATGCCGAAGACCAACAGGATATGATAATCTGCTTGAAGAGAGTTGACAGTGAAAAGCAATCAGAAACCTTTTAGTCTGATAGTTCTTGTGCTAGAGTAATTTTACACTTTTTTATTGAAAGAAGTGGATAGCAAAAGTGCAGTTGTAATTAAATTGTCCTAGAGTCTTCAGAAGGCAGACATGAGCAAGAATAAATGTCTGAAGCCAATTGCAATGATCTCATAGACCAGCACAGTTTGTGCCGACACTTAACTTTTAGGTGTAATAGTGAACTGCCCTTTGGCTATAACATTACCAACCCACAGTCAGAAGACATGTCCTTTGGATTGTTTTCCAATATTTAAACACAAAAATAATAAAACAACACTTGTAGCTTTCCAATTCATATAAGTATACCCTGGGATGCTTATTCTGAAAGGTAACTGCAGATATAATGTAATGTCACAGTATTTTAGCAGACAATATATTATTTATCATTTTGATTCGTATTCTAACTAGTGAAAATCTCTGCATTATTCAAAATGCAAACTTAAGCCTTGTTCTGAAATCTGTCTGCTGGGCTTAAAAATTAATAACAGGTACCCACTCTCCTCCTCTGCACTGCTTAAGTGGTTCCATGAGACCCACGTTTCAGCTGATGGAAATTTCTGAAGAGCAATAAATGCTGGAGGAAATATTTACTTACAGACCCATCTTCTTACCTCTCAGCCTCTTTTGCTAACTATTTCTCATAGAGACCAGGATTGCAGGTCAAAGACGATGCAAGGTAGGGCGATGCATTATATCATTCTTTGTAATGAAAAAGCCTATTTCTATCTCTTCCTTTCATTTTTTTTATTTCTTTTTTTATATATTTATCAATCTCCATGAACACTTTTGTGAGGCTAGGATATTTGAAATCTGTAATTATAAACACCTGTCAACATCTCATTGGTGAGTCCTCTATTGCTGAAAATGAACCTGGGGGCTTGTTACTACCTTGTCAGACTTGCTAAAAAGAATGTTTTTAATTCAGGGAAGAGTTGAGGTGAGGAAAATATGCTGAAAAATATTATTAACTTACATAAATATTGCCAAACTCTTTCAGATGATCTGTTGCTAGCACTACTCCTGATATTAGGTTGAAAATTGCAAATATGACATCTGTTTGGGCTCACAAAGACCAGTATGGGTTTACACATTAAATGATGGGAGAAAAATATGTGGGAAATTTTAACACTAAGTTTTTAAAAATGAAAAGAACCCCCCAGATATGGGTTGAATATTTTATATTGAAAAGTTCAAAATGACTCTATGCAAGTGACACCGTGGGTGAGTGCTCGGCTACTAGCTGAAAGGTTGGCTAGTTCGAACCCACCAGCCACTCCACAGGAGAAAGATGTGACAGTCTGCTTCTGTAAAGATTTACAGCCTTGAAAAGTCTATGGGGCAGTACTACTCTGTCCTACAGGGTCACTACTAGGAGACGGAATTGACTCTATGGCAATGGGTTTTTGGGTTTAGTATAATCTTTGGGAAGTTTTCATTGGAAAGAAGCATGACTGTTGGAAAACCATTACATATCTGTACTGTCCTTGAGACTTCCTGTTGGCCACTATGAATTCTGTCTGCCCATGAGTTCCTTTTAGGAGGATAAACTGATATTATGTGAATTGGAAATAAAAATATCCCCTAGATCCTCAGCCTCAGTGGAGACTTGTGTGTTAGTATGATGCTGAACAGGTTTCAGCAGAGCTTCCAGACTATGATTGGGAAGATAGGCCTGGTGATCTACTTTTAAAATACCAGCCAGTGAAAGCCTTATGGATCACAATGATCTGACCCACAAGGGATCATGGGGATGGTGCAGGACCAGGCATCATTTTCTTCTGTTCTGCATGGGGTTGCCATGAGTCAGGGCCCATTGGATGGCAGCTAACAACAACAATGCCTCCTCTTAAAAATTTACTACAGAAGCTATTGGGAGAGAAATTGACCCATTTGAATTTTAATTCCAGATTTCCCTTCCTCACTTTGTAATGTACGGAGAACCTTAGAGAAGTAAAGTGATCGAAAGGTCAGGCACAAAGGAAGGAGTGAAAGCAACAAAGGCCTGGATGACCCTGAGACAGAAAACTGTTTATTGTCTTCTGACCCTTGCAGTATATGGATATTTGTGAGTGAAGGGGACAGGAGAAGGTTGTGATAGTCAAAGACGGAGAAATGCATGAGACTCAAGTGGTCACAGCTAACATTTCAAAGGATCACAATATTTGTCTAATACGACATTAAAGAATCCCTGGGTGGTGCAAATGGTTAAGCACTTGAATACTAGCTGAAAGGTTGGCAGGTCGAATTCACCCAGAAACATCTTGAAAAACAGGCCTGGCACTTGCTTACAAAAGGTCACAGCCATTGAAAACCCTGTGGAGCACAGTTCTACTCTGCATAGCTGGGATCACCAGGAGTCGGAATCAACTTCACAGCAACTAACAACAACAAGCCATTCAGCATTTACTAGTTCTCAGAGGGAGTCCTGGTGGGGCAGTGGTTAAGAGCTCAGCTGCTAACCAAAAAGATCAGCAGTTCAAATCCTCCAGCTGCTCCTTGAAAACCTTATGGGGCAGTTCTCTTCTGACCTATAGGGTCACTATGAGTCAGAATCAACTCGATAGCAACATTTTTTTTTTTTTTAGTTCTCAGCATAACTTTTTGTCGGTGACTATCAACTTAGTTAAGGAGCTCTGGTGGTGCAATGGTTAAGTGCTTGGCTGCTAACCAAAAGGTCAGCAGTTTGAACCCACCATGCTTTCTGCAGGAGAAAAGACCTTGTAATCTGCTCCCATAAAGATTTCAGCCTAGAAAACCCTATGGGGCACTTCTCCTCTGTCCTAGAGGGTTGCTATGAATCGGAATTGACTCGATAGCACACAACAACTACACGGGTGGATTATCCAATAAGCAAGGTGAGCACGGGCTTACTTGTGCTTACTTACTATTCTATAGTGAACAGTTTCACATTTTCTCACCACATGAAAGATTCTGCTTCTAGGTATGGCTGACATCTGTCTCCCTCCCAAC